AGAGAATGAGCGACTTGTGATCTTAAATTCAATCTGTGTCAGATTTGTTTTTCCTGGTTTCCTGGATTCTTGTAAGAAACATGGCAACCAAACATAAGGGTCTACTTATCTACTTTTTTAATTGAATTATATTAGTTGGAGAGTTTATTGTTTTTGTTTTTTAAACTATACTATACTAAAATTAAAACAACATTTTGAAAAAAGGATTTAATTTTAAACCAAAACATTTAAACAAAAGACAATTGGACACACTGTACCTCAACATATTTATCATTTTACCAAATCCATCACAATAATTCCAAGCTAATTCTTAGAGAGACTTTCCAACTGCTTGGATTTGTTTTGTGTTCTGATTTATTTGATTAATTTTCAACTATCCTTCCAGTCCATCTTAAAGGTACTTTTAGATACATTTTAGCTTTTGTCGCTAACCTTAGTCTATCCATCTGTATAACATTATTTAAATAATAAAAAAAATAATAATAAGAATTTAAACATTTCACAGAAATTTGAATCTTCCATAAAAACTGACCGAAAAATCCTTCAAATAACTATTTTCCTAATCTTTACTTATTTATTTATTTAGTTTTTTTTTAAACTGATTGCAACGATGTCTTCACAAAGCTCTTAAACAATTATCCCCCAATGTAAAAATAAAAGATAATTATCATTATTAACTCCCACTAAGACTGCCACTCCTCCACTAAATGAAGCCTGTCAGAGGCAGTGAGAGAGAGGGCGAGAGACATAGAGAGGCACGGGGAAAAAAATGAAGGGGGCGCTATGATGCCAATCATGCCGTATTTATATCAGCGGGACAGAAAAGAACAATCTGAGGCAATGAGACTGAAGAGGGAGCTGTGGGAAACTTCACATCCTTTTCTGCTGCTGCAGATTTTCTTCTATTAATTTGAGCCAACAAAAAAAAAAAAAAAACAATTGTTCAAATAATTAATAAAAAAAAACTCATTAAGACAATCATTCCCCCGATAGAATCAGTGTCAACAATCTGTGCAGCAGGGTCACAAATCTGCAGGAGCTCAGCAGAAAAATAGGCTAAAAAACATTTTAAAAAATCCTCTCTTGTGGCTGCTGTGAAATCTGTGTGAAAAAAATGCAAAAAATAGTGTAAAATGTACAGCACCGTTTCTGCAGCTGTATCATGTAAGTTTATTGTTCTTGTCGTGTCATTACAGATTATATAAAAGTAGCTGTCGGCTTCTATGATAGGTAACAGAGAGAAGAAGCAATTGGTTAAAAAAATAGTCATCAGAAAGTGATAAAAGTCATTTAGAACATAGTCAATACATACATACAGTATATGAATATGTATGTTTATATATATCCACATATATATATATTTTGCACTATATATATACTATATATATACTATATATATATATATATGAATATAATAAATATATAAATGAATAGCTGCTAATTTGTTTACAGCAGCTTTCTGCTATACGCACATCTAAACTTGGCTGTGTTTTCTTATGGTGTTTATTGTTATTGGACCTTTATTTATCTATTAAACATTAAACTCTGTATGTGTCAATTTACACTTTTATTACACACTGACCTACAGGAATTAGAAGACAAAGTTACAACGCTAGCAGACCTGTATATGATGTTGTTGTTTTTGTTTTTTTTTTTCTGCAAGTACCATCTGCGTGTGTATGTGTGTGTAATTTGTGTGTGTGTGGTGTGAAAACGTAAAAAAAACCTGGTGTTAGAAAACGTCAAAGGGAGCATGTGTTTGTTCTGTTTCCAATCTGACTCAAAATTCAGTGACTCATACCTTTGACAAAACACCAGATGAAGCCGGATCCCATTTAATCTCAATTAAAATAATCACACGTAAATACAAAAGGCTTTTAAATTCAGATCAGACTGCAAAAAAAAAAAGGTTAACCAGGTTAACCAGGTTAAAAAGTAAAAAAACACTAGGGTGTAAAAATAACCCTTTGATCAATTTAAAATACTTATATTCACAGCAGATGTATGTACTAGTGATGTTCGATACTACCAATTTCCTGGTATCGCAGATACCGATATCAATATTTTATCATTTGTCTTTTAAATAAAAAATGTGTATTTCAAATCATAGCTTCTTTAAGAATCCGAGGCTGAGGTTTTTATTTATTTATTTATTTTAAACTCTGGAGTGTACTGAGGTAGCTGCCTCATTTACTATACAGTCAACACAACAATAGAAAACCTTGAGAACACAATCATATAAAATATGTCAAAACAATGTTTCAAACTCTGAAAACATGTTATTTGTAAAACAAAAATAAATAAAAAAATAAAATAAATAATCTGAGGAGCCATTTGGGACCCGAAAGAGTCGGATTTTTTCAGTGAACCGAGCCAAAAGAACCGGTTCTCCAAAAAAGAGCCGAAATTCCCATCAATAGTGACTGAGTGAGAGCACGGAGTAGAGCCCCTGTGCTTAAGCATGACGCACACACCCAGGCGGAAGAAGAAGTAGTCCCACCAACCGAGCGTCACTTAGACAACATCTCAATAATTTGGATACTTTTCACCATGTTTCTGTTTAGGATACACCTCATCTCAGAATGCGTAAGTATCAAAAGTATCGATAGTTGGATTTCAGAATCGATTTCAGAGCATAAAGATCCAGAATCGGAAGTATCGATATTTCAGGATCGATCCGCACATCACTAGTATGTACAACCCCTTATAAACCAGGACAGTCATACTTAAGTCATTGGCTAGTGAATAATCTAGGACCATTAGCTTTATTAAGTTTGTATAAATTGTGAATGTCCCTCTGCATTAAACCATGTTTTTTTATATCCTAAGTCTTTCTCTGGTAACCTTTATAAACAGAACTAACTAATCATTCAACATCCTATGTGGCACATGACCCAGTGCACTAGACGTTGGACCTGAAATAGTGTGTAGGACGCATATGTTAAACCCAAGGCCCACACGCCAAATGCAGCCTGCCTTTCTTATCATTTCACATTTCAAAGCCTGCCGACGTTTGAAGTAGACACTGGTGTAGGACGTGATAAAGTATGTAGGACATGACCTTGTGTTAAAAGTCTTGACTCAATGACTTGAACCTGACCCTTGTGTGCGGGACATGACCCAGTGAGTTGGATCTGATTTGGTTTGAGGGATATGCCTTTGCATGAGTTTTCATTGATCAGAACCAGTGGTGGACAGTAACATGGTCGATGTCATTCGTTTCTGTACTTAAGTAACATATATATGTAGGAGACAGAGAGAACAAAGACTTCATAAGATGCCATGAGAGACTTAGGTTGCACTCACACAAGGCAATCAAGGATGTGGGAGGGGGGTTTACATGTGTTGGGGGGGCATTCGGGCTTCAGTACAGTACGGAACACATGAACAAGTGTGAGCGCACCCTCAAAGGTTCGATTTTTCCGAAACCAAGACTGAAGTTGGATATGAACAAGTAAGGTCAGAAAGATTAAAAATGTATTATAGAATAAAACAAGTAATTTTAAAAGAATACAACTTTGGATAACAAAACATATTCTTTCAACTTTTTGTCAAGGACTACAAAGACAAGAATAATAAGGGGACATTCTTTGTTCTCAGTTTGTCATATGACCTTCCACCATTTCGCACACACGGACACACACTCTCATTGATGGCTGAAGGAGGAGATAAATAAACAGCAGTGACACAGTAAACAGGTGCAGGAGCTGAAAGAGCAAGACTTAAACATCTCTCATTATGACAGAGTGTGCTAGCGTGTGCCCTGTGCAACTGCTCCCACCTTAGGTCATTAACATCGTCAGAGAAGTGAGGAAACAGACAGTTGCTGCTAAACATATGCCATTACAATCTTTTACTTTCCTCGCAGATGTCCTAACAGACAAATGACTAATTACTAGGAATATAACGATGCATCACGAACTGATAAAAATCGATACAAATCTGTGACAATTCGCATTGGTTGAAATAAAAAACAAAATGAATCGCGCATCATGGCGTAAGGGGTAGCACTCTAGACCAGTAGGTGGCAGGATGCGCCTGAAAATATTGGTAGTGACCCGATTACAAACCAAGAAGACAGGTCCCCGTGTAGCCTAAGTAGCATTCAGGTATTCAAATAGAACGTGGGAAGAACTTCTTCCAGACACAAGCAGTTTTTTTACAGTGTTTCTGTAAGGAAAGGAACTCTTTCCATTTAATATGTTTTTTTATACTTTTTTGTTGTTTAATATATTGACACTTAGCGAGATAAATCGACCAGACCAGTTTGACTTTTAATAAGAGGAGATAAATGGTGACATTCATTGTGAAGTACACAAGGCCATTTCAGTTGGTAATGGTATTGTGCATAGTTCTTACATTGTTCTTCCGATGCATATTGTACTTATACCAAACCTGTACATAGCTACATTGCGAATTGTTTTTTATTTTTATTTTGTTCTACGTACGTTATAACTTCAGTCACTTTAATGATATTTGTATCTCACCTTGTAAATACTGTGCCTACCCCGCTGTTACTTTTACTGCTTATACTTTACTTATCTTATCTTACAAATAAAGGATCATTGTATTTGGTCAATATTTGTATATTTTTTCTCTTTAAAAAAAATCATAAAATGGTATCGTGAACAAAAAAAAAATCGCAAATCATCGTATCGTGAGTTGAGTGTATTGTTACGTTCTGATTACAGTGTCTGCTGAAAATGACGGCAAATGAACTCCCTTTTTGTTTGATGTATTCAAAAGGTAATATCCAAAATGTCTAGCAATTTTCCATTTTTATCTTCGCCTGTCAACATACCTTCACACTGATGATGCTGTAACCCAGTGACGTGAGCTTCATACACCCGAACAGCTCACACTGAGAGGACCACGGATGTTTTCAGAACAAACAGCCCATTAAAATAAAAAAAAATAAAGGTGTGTGTGTGTTGCGCGCGTGTGTCTGGGTGTGACAGACACCTTTAATATCCCCCCTCCACTGATGGGCGTGATCGTACCTGTGTGACTGTCGCTTCTCCAAACATACGTCGGATGCGAGGACGAGGGGCCGCGACAGCTTCCTGCTGCAGGTGACGGAACGACCCGAGTCTGTAAGCAAAACACAAACACAGCAGGGATGTGAGCTTTGATGAGCAGAGAAGAGAAGAAAAAGTAATTAAAATAAAATAAAAACATCGACAGTGACAGCGAGGTTTATTTCTGCTCAGGACTTCCTGCGACGACGTGATGTCATTTACACCTCGGTGAGAAATTTCACAGATTATGAACTAGAATCGCCCGACACATCACTCTGTTTTTCACTTTCTCTCGCTTATTATTGGTTTTTAATTTGACGGCTGAAAATCAGGCTGACATTCAGAGGATTTATCAGATCAGATGTGAAAAAGCAAAGATATTGTCTTTGGTGTGTCTGCTAAACAAACAGGTCAATGGGCCAAAAGTGTAGCTTCCACAGAAATCAAAGTCAAAGAGTTGGAAGTTTGACTTAGAAGAATCTTACAATTACTGTATGTCAATATAAATAACTGAACAATATAATAATAAGTCATATTTAAAAGATGGCTGACATTTGACCATATTTTTTGTTTTGGAATATAACAGAGAGAATAAAAAGAAAAGCTAAAAGAAAAACAGAAACATTCTTAAATCTTAATTAATCTAAAATCTTAGAAAACAGAAACATTCTTAAATCTTAATTTACATTTTTTGAACAGTGAACCATCATTAATCTTAACACATAGGGACACAAAAGCTGCATGTCCACTGCTGCCTCTAGTGGTCGGTTTGTGGTTGAAATTCCAATAATAAATATAGAAAAAAAAACACATGTTAAATTACACCAGAGTTTCCTGGCCGTGGCCCCTAGAGAGGGCGCAGTGAAAAAAGGTGGCTTTTTTTTTTTTCATTCTTGCTTTAACACACACACACACAAAATCTCACTCCTGCTAATCGACCAAAGTTGGCAATGCTAGCATAATATGGACAAGTTTAAGATGCATAAAAGCAGTTACATTTGATATGTGTGAAAAAAACGAGTCTGAATATATGTGTGTCCTGTTTTTTGGGGTTTTTTTGCAAGGGTTTGTGTAGGTGGACACAGGCGGGGCGTGGTGGACAAACATTGTCATAAGATCCAAGGTGTGCCCGGCAGAGAAAGTTTGGGAACGAGTAAATTAGACATTGAGACAGCAGTGGATCAACTACTGTTGTCTCTCAGTGAGCTAAAATGAGTGATTGTTCTCTGTCGATGGATGGCCAGTGTGACAATGTGATTGTTTTTTTCAAACGTCAGATTCCAGAAGGTGAGTAAAACAAGTTGGTTTGTTTTTTTTAGGTTAGGCGAAAAGAATGCAACGATGTTTCGTTAATTGGGGTGTAATGTTTTTACCGAGGTGAGTAGAGTAACACTGATGTAGAGTGGCAGGAGGGCCAACTGGATCTTATCCACCTTTACTGTTTAGAGCAGGACTCACACACAAATATGGTACAACACTGAGAATGAGAGAGAGAGAGAGAGAGAGAGAGAGCAGGAGAACGAGAGAGAGACGCTGCTACGTTGCCTTAAGTCAAAATCTAAATTGGCTCCCAGGGGCTCAGACTCTACCTTGTTCACCCAAGGCAGTGTGTGTTTGCGAGTGTTTAGCATATGCTGCTGTAACCGAATCTCTCTGTCTTACACACACACACACCCACCCACACACACACACACACACACACACAAACATCTCTGTTGTTTTTTTTTTTTTTCTCATTACATTTTTCTCATCAGGTTCTTAATTAAAATGAAAATAGTTCGCGTCTACCTATTAGAGCATGTTGTGCCAAAAGCGACTGCCATCGCATGAACCTTTGCGAACTCTCACACACAGATATCAGGTTTAATCTTTAACCGTTTCATATTATAGATTTATTCATTAGTTCATGTCTACGAAACGAAGAAGACGTAGGTCTTCTTCATCTGCGGCTGCGTCAGAACTGTTCAGAACTGTAGTTTAAAAAGGTTTTAAAAAGTTGATTTGCCGGCAGAACGTTGAAGGCCTAGATTGTAAACATTTGCACTCATTGTTTATTCATACTCTTTATTTGTTTTGCATTGTTTTGTTTTTGATATTTACATGATATTCACATTGCTTCGTAAACTTTAATCTCTTGAGATACGTATATATTTGTCCTGTACTTTATCATGGACCAATTTGCTATTATTTATAAAGGTTGACTCTGGATAACCTTAGTAAAAATCTGTACAAACACGTCTTGCCGACAGATCTTTGTATTGTATTGTAATCTGTTTAAATATTTTTTTTAAAAAAATGTGCAAGTTGTATTGTATTGTAATCTGTTTAAATAGTTTTTTTTTTTTTATGTCCAAATCTTGTGTCATTAACGGATTACCCCTTTCATTTTCCAAAGCTTTGGGGATATGCAACAGAAAAGTCTTTGTTTATTTCATTTTGTGGAGCAAAGGTTACGTGTAATAATGCAATTTTTCTTTTAATAATGCAGCTACAGAATTTCTTTAAAAAAAATCCACTACAGTAAATGGTGACTTTTTTTTTTTTCTCTCTCTCAGGATAAAACTCACATGAACACAGTGTGTGACGGTCTAACCTTTCCTGTGTTTACCTTATTAAAGAGTGTGTATTTTATCTCCAAATGCAATACACAGAGGGGTGGAGTGACGCTTGAGGGGGTGGAGGGGTGGGGGGGTACTATGTGTATAAAAGCTGAACAGTAAAGTAATAGGCCTGAGCAGTGAAGTGTTAATTCCACATAAAAATCTGTAGAAAAAAAAAATTGCAACTAGTGCATGCACACACACACCCACGAAATATATAAGTAAACACACGGACACACACACACACACACACACAATCCCCAACCTCCCACCCCCTTTTCCTCAATCTCCCTCCACAGCATCGCCGGCTGCCTGGCAGCTGAAGTTAACATTTTCAGAGAAAATATTCCTGTGCCTCCAATAGTCCAACCTAATTCATTTTCCATCTCTGTTCATTAATCATTGTTAAAATTAGTGATCCATTTCTTCCACTCTGCCATCTGCACTCAGCTTCCTAACAAACATGACACCTCGGCGCATAATAAAAGCTGACAGCTACGAGCAGCCCTTTCCAAATAGCTTTCTGCACATGTGCACCTCCACGACGTGACGCCGCTGTCAGACACTGAAAAAAAAAGAAAAAAAAAAAAAGTACCAAAAAAAAAGGAGGAAAAAAAAGTGGCTTACTTAGACCACTAAGTGTGTTTGTGTGTGTGTGTTTACCCGTGCGCGTTTATGTTCAGTTACAGTCCCGGGTTTTCGTGCACCAGCAGGAACACAAGAACAGATGTGTCTAATCCTGACAGGAATGTGCTTAAATCCTGATAAGAACTAAAGTGGCCAAAATGAGAAAGTTAAAAATATGAATGATGGTGCACCACCAGAGAGGGCGACATAGGAAACCAACGAGAGGGGGGGTGGAGGGGGAGAAAGGTGGGAGGTGTAAAAGTTCTCCTGTTAAGCCCTGCAAGGGCTTTGCCTAAATTTCAGCAGAAACACACCAACATTTTCCATTTTCATTAGCTCTCAGCAGCTGTGGCATTTGCGTGTAATTGTTGTGATACAGAATATCAGCTCAGCCCCCCCACCCCCCTGCTCTTAAAGGAACAGTCCGCATTTTCTTTACGATGAGGTTGGGTTTCAACGGGTGAAAGATTTTTAGGTCTGCGCTTATTTTTAGTAGGTAGAATTTGCTCGAGCTCAGTGAGGACACACTTGAAACACAAACTGTGGTTTTCTAAAACCACTCTACCGCAACAATGTCCAGGAAATGGGTGATATTAGCTCATACCGTCGGGACACGGGAGATGCCGTTCCACTTGTGCCTCCTGTGGTCAGTTTTTGTCACTGCGGAAAATCTGAAAAAAAAAAATTCAAAGAGTGGAGTCACTAAGTTTCTCTGCGTACTTTGGGTTGAGAGATTGAATGCATGATAGCTAGATGTATGGATGGATGTATGGCTGTGTGGATGTATGGATGGATGGATGGATGGATTAGATAGATAGATAGATAGATAGATGGATGGATGGATGGATGGATGGATGATGGATAGATAGATAGATAGATAGATAGATAGATGGATAGATAGATAGATAGATAGATAGATAGATGGATAGATAGATAGATAGATAGATAGATAGATGGATAGATAGATAGATAGATAGATAGATAGATAGAATGTTATTAAATTCCTTTGGGTTCGGTTGGAGTCCCATTAAGAAAAATCAAGGACATATAAAGAGAGCGCAAACGCAGTCCCCTGCTCTCGAAAAAATTCCCACAATTAGGGTATTCGTAGAAGTCAGTATGCCGGAGTGTAACTAAGATTCAATTTTGTTATTATCAGTCCTTACATTTCTGTAATATACACACACACACACACATTTTATAGACACACCCACTTGAACCTCTCCAGTCATCTTCTACTGCACAAACACACAAATCCCTGTCTGGCAAGGTGTGTATTTGTGTGTGTGTGTGTGTGTGTGCGTGTGTGTGCCCGAGGCGCATCACATTAATCTATATAATGCCCTCAAAGAGAAGGTTTTTTTCACACCACTAACTGCCAAGGACTACGCAGGGCAGTGGCTGAGCTATGATTCAGCTGTTAGTCCAACTGTTGTCGCTGCGTGCACACTCACACGTGCACGTGCGCAATCAAATATGCAGCATGCCACGCCAGACACCGCACACATGCACACAGGGTTTTTCTGTTGAATTACACACACACGCGCGCAGACACACACATACACACACCGCTCTCAGCATTCGAACCATGTTCTCCTCTATTACAGTTTAAAGAAAATAACAGTCATACACACACACGCGCGCAGACACACACATACACACACCGCTCTCAGCATTCGAACCATGTTCTCCTCTATTTATACAGTTTAAAGAAAATAACAGTCAGGGTTAAAAAACGATTCCTTGTTTAGATGAACTAAAATTCCACATGATGGATTTTCTCAAAATAAAATTTTCTTCATCAGTTTGTTACAATTTCTGTACTTTAATTACTCCTAACACTTCTACTCTCTTTTTTTTTTCTGAATATCTGAACCCGTGGGAAAAATAACCTGATCATTGTTGATATTTATTTTTATTTTATATTGATGTACTTCGGTAATGTTTTTGCTTTCTTTTTTCCTTCTTTCATCTTCATCTGAGCAGATATTTTTTTACCACATTCTCCACTGAAATGCATTTTTATAGCAACATCATCCTGCATTATCTACTCCATGACAGTGGTCTATTAATAAGTATTAGTAAAACCAGGAAATTTTTTTTTTTTAATTCTGAATTCAGTGAAATTTAATAAGTATTAGTAAAACCAGGAAATATATTTTTTTTAAATTCTGAATTCAGTGAAATAAAAATATTTTTTTTTTGCAATAACAATTATTTTCCTTCACTTTCTTGAGATAAAAAAAATCTTTTTTTTTTTTGCAATAACAATTATTTTTCTTCACTCTCTTGAGCCAAAACAGCCAATAGTGATATAATTAAGTTAAAGCCTATGTGTTTAAAAATGATTGAAAATGATTATTTGATTAGTGCCATTTGAACACAGACCTTTTTATACAGCACTGGATTCGTGTTGACAGCAGCTGCAACCTCAACCTTCTACAACTGCTCACACACACACACACACTGTAATAAGACTCTTTACTGTTGTTACCTTGCGGAACTCCACACTGACCATATTTCACAATGTGAAGTTACAGATTTAATATTCATTTGTTGCTGCGGAAGGCCAGAGAGAACGATGACAGACTCGGAGACATGATTGGACGCTGGCTGCTCAGAGACAGACGGTGAGCAGAGAGGCAGCTAAATCATCCTGACGTTCACACAGACGAGAAAGCTGCGGCAGCAGACGCTCAGAGAGAAAAGGTTGCCGCTGCTCTGAGGTTTCTGCTCCACGCTCGTTTGGTTTTGCCTCAACTCAAAATGCACTAAACACAGCGCACATTCAGAAACAGAGACAGAGGAAACAAAATTAGAAAAAAAAAAATCTAAGTAAATACAGGTACAGCGGATATGAACACAATGGAGTCAGATATTAGTAGAAGGAACAGAAAAAGAAAACAAAAACAGTTGAATTACTCTTCTCCCCACTCACATATAAAGCTGCTGTTCACTTTGTCAAACACAAGAATAAATTGTCCAGATAGGCTTCCATATGTTTCTAAAAGTAGTTAAAAGATGGGTTACCTAGGGTTAAAAAGAATGGCCATTCTAAATGTTGGATCAAACAGTAACAAAAAATCCCAGATTAATTACAGTTTAGGAAAAAATGAGTTAATTAAACTTAGTCGCCAAAGAAAAAAAAAGAATGAATAATTGTTAATTACCAAGACAACAGCTGAACCTAACCAGAATTATAAAATATAAACAGATTAATTTATAAATATTAATTAAAAAAACAAAGACTGCTAAAAAGGAAAAAGGGAGAAAAAATTGGTTAACAATAAACTAATTTGCAAATCCATGGACAAAATGAGTCAAAAGAAAGTATGTCTAGAAAATGTTTTAACTTAGCATCATCACCTAGACATCATTGTTACTAGGTTCAATTTTTTTATTTAAAAAAAACAAAATCTGCTGCTCATGATCACATCTGGAAGCATTTTCTATCCCCTCCTAAAGGAAAAAAAATTAATTATATCAACTGTATTTTCTTCTTTCTCCCACATGTGTAAAAGACACATCTATTTCTCTCTCTCTCTCTCTCTCAATGTTCTCAAAATTCTACTTAGGGCTGTCTTTTGCTCTCCCAAAAACCTCACCTGGTCTATAAATTTTAAGCACGGATAACAAATATTCAAATCATGAGCTA